AGAATAAAGAGGTGGATATATGAGAATGAATGCACTGAAAAGCTAAGACAAAGGAGGTTATGATTTCTTTATAACTATTACATTATGTTCTAAAGATAGGATCAAAAGTTCAGGATGAAAAAGAAAATTTGCTACCTTTTACTAAAACCTCCTTGGTAAGAAAAGTGGTTCAGTTTCATAACATACATTTCCTGACTCCTAAAGTGCTTCAGTCTCCAGAAGATGAAATTGCAAGAAGAAACCTCAGAACACTAAAAATATCTAATTTTATTTACTATTTCAGGGGGTTTATTCTATTTAAATTTAAGAAAAGAAGGAGAAGGTAAAAATTACCTTTCAAGGCAATTACCTTTCAAGCAAGGGGAAAAAAATTATATATGACATTCAACTATAAAAACATTGGATTTGCTGTCAACGAAAAAATCGAACCACATGAATCCTCAAGTCTAGAATGCTGACCCTGCAGTGACCAGTATGGTTTCAGGGAAAGATCAACAGAAAAATCCTACAATGTACATTGTGGATTGTGCAAAGATGAAAAAGTGCTTCCTGACCCTTGCAGCAATCAGCTTACTCCTTGAAGCATGAGATTTGATTACCTTCATCTCGGCAGGCACAGCACTATATACCTATTAAGTACCCAGCATGATCTAAGGGACAATAACGTAAGAATTTCTGAACCAATTCAATTCTGCAACGTGGGCAATAATTGCAATGAGTAATCCATACCAAGAACATGTATGAACAGCATCAAGGGCATTATAACGTGTTGACATTTACATCTTCTCCTTTGAGGAAAAAAAATCCTATAAATGGATCAAGTCTAACAGAAGCCCATGACAATTAAATTCTCCACAATAAGAAAGCATGAAAACCCAGCGAAGAAGTTATCTGATAAAAGCTTTAGGACAAATATTCTCTGACATGTGGCATATATCCCTGCGGTCTGTCACAAAGCTTGAGTGCTGATTTTTGCTAAAGCCCCTAAACACCACCCATCAAAAAAATCACATGGGAACATTTTCAGTTCAACATCTGTGTCCTGCTCAAAAATACACTAAAAATACTCAAGGTCTGACATGCCTTATATATAGAATAGCTTCAGGCATGCAATGATATTGGCATATAAACATATTCAGACTGTAACAGTGGCAGCACTGAGGAAAGCTGTCCGTCTGCACACATCACTAATCTACTCTTCATCCATCGACTACAAGCTGGTATTTCTTTTTTTATTATTATTATTTTTATTTATCTGCAGTGTTACTGTCTCCCTGCAATGCCAGCAGACTGTTTAGGAGGCATTCGTCTAAGCACTTATGTCACATACCAAAACCTGCAGAAAGAAGAGGGAAGATGGAGGTTACCTTAATTTTCATAGCTACTAAGAATGAAATATGGAAGGCCTTATTTTATCTGCTCTTTGTGAATTTGCCCATGCACCAGTATTGCCGAGCATCAAAGCGCTGCAGGAGGGGAACGAGTGTGATCGCTGGGGTGAGAATGTTACTGGCTGATGTCAGCTCTAAGACACAGAGGACAAGACGCAAATCAGCTTGCTATCCAAGATGTACAAAGGAAACTATTAGTGGAGAAAGGAGAATTATCAAAGCATTTGCCAAGGTGAGTGTCTTGGCAACTAGTCAGTAAAGCCATTCTCTTCAATGCCTTTCTAACAGCAACAGTTACGTAAGATTAAAAGATTTAAGCCAAATATTCCACTCTTCCCAGATTCAGAGATTTCACTGACTTACATATGTATCAATAAATTCCATGTTACTTAAACACTACACCAACATTCCTCCCAAGTTGTTGGTTCTTCTGATTCACAGGTCAACCTCTATAAAGCAGTTAACATATTCTCAGCTCACAGCTTACACTTAAGCTTTCTTTTCTTGCACAAGATTAAATGTGTGCTTAAGTGCATTGCTGAAGAAGAAATGAATTTCTGAGTTATGAACATTTGGGAACCAAAGTCAAAGAGTGAAGAAGTATGGTGCTTTGATTTGGAGAAACGCAAAATCTGGAGGAGTGGCAAACCTTTCACATTTTCTTCTGAGTCTTTTTCTGGAATGAATGCAGTGCTTGAAAGGACCAAAAAGAAATGGTAAAATGCCTTCCTCTTGCCTGAAGGTATTCAATACAATGGAACAAGGGCGGTATAATCGGCATTAAAATACTCTTCATAAATAATGGACAGTCTAGTAGCATTTATCTACTCTGCACTTCAGGAAATTTTCTACTGCTGAATATTTCATGAATAAAAGGTAATTTATCGTGGCTTTTAAATTATACACTTCAGAAACTATTAGAAAAAAAGTTCTGTGTTCCTGTGCAATAATGACTAGTTATGAATTTCTATAGAAACACTAGCAGCCTAAATGCATATTTTGAAACATAACACATACAAACTACCAGGGACACTTTTGCCCGAGACTGTAGCTACTGATTTTTAATATGTCCAATCCTATTCAGCAATACAGTATTTATTTACAAGTGAAGAATAAACCTGAATGTATATTTGCCTAAGATGTCAGTTCTAGTTTGCACTTCTCAACAAAATATAGTACTGATCACAGGTCACTTAAGATGCACATCTGTGACAGCAATTTTCAATAAATCTGTTCTCTGTATGTTATTGTAAATGCGTATTTTATTACAGCCTTTGTAAGGGACAATTAGAGTTCCATATAAACAAAACCATTAAGGAATCATACTGGTGAAAAGGTAAATTGTCAAGATGAAACAGAGGTAACCTTAGCTCTGTCCCCTGTGAATATAAGGCTATGATGCAATCTTATTGCTGCGTCCAGAGCCAGATGCTCAGTGGTTGCAGATTAGTGTGACTTCAAAGAAGTCAAGAGTGCTACATCTGGTCTCTATCAACAGAAGCACCAGTGCATTTCGCGGCATCAAACCTGTCTGTACTACTTCACATGTCTATGACAGAGCACCATGGAAGCCTGCTGTGAACAAGCACACCCACCATCCACTGACAAGCAACTCTAACACCACCAAAGGAAAAGATATTTAAACATTAAAAGGTAATTTCCCTCAACCAGAGCTATTCTTGGGGAAATTTTTAGTTTTCTTACTACCCCCTCGCTTCCAAAGTGTAGAGATACTCTAAACGAGTGATGACAAAGTTTTCTTTCTAAAATGAATAAGATAGCAAAAATAACTTTCCTTTCATATTTTTTTTATACGATAACAAAGCTGCCATACCAAGTCCTCTTTTTTTTTAATTCACATTACCTACTTGAAAAGGCCAGATAATGAAAATTTTAAAACATGAAAGCTTTTATCTCCAGAAGTTAGAAGCAATCAGAATAAACAGTACCAAACATGGCAAACATTCTAATAGCCCCCGCAAGTGGACAAATGTGTCTGTGGCAAAAAGATTTATTTACTGAATGACTTCTCATGACACAGGCAAGGAAGAAGTCTGAGACATCTGGCTCACTCCTAGATCAATCATCTTTCTTAGTAGCAAAATGCACTGCAAATCCCATGGAGGGATGGGACATCTACAAAAGACATCACACACGAAGCAGTATTTCAGGTATTTTTCTGTGTATTTACAGAAGTAAAACAAAATTAATCTTTAGCACTTAATCCAAATAGCCTTACAGCTTTGGCAAGGTATGTCCCTCCTACATTTACTAGTACAAAAAAAAACACAAAACCATCAGACAGACCTATCATGGATAATTTGGTTTTAAACACCTCAACTGCAGCAATAAAGTAATTTTGAGGGAGATGGATCTGCTGCAGTCTGCACCTTACACAACGTATTTTTGCTTTTGAAGACATCTAGAATAGTTGTGCTAAGCTGTTCATTTATAGACATAGTGAGTGCAATCCTTAATAACTGGTATACTTGGTATGGTACTCAAAAGTAAGCATCATATCATTTGTCTGGGTCTGTCAAATACTGAGTATTGATTTGGAAGCTGTAAGCAATGCACGGGTTTTAGCCCGTCCTATAGCACAAAGAGTTTTTTCCCCTCGGTCAATAAATTCTCTCAAGACACCACATTTAAAAATCCTGGATGTATTAACCGTCAAATCATACACTTAAAACAGTGCTTTTGACGTCTATTGAAGAGCTGTTAGAAACAAGAACCAATGATATCTATATGCTTGTTTGCTGCTTCCTGAATTGCTCTCCTCATTATATTTTGTGGACTTAAGCGTAAAGGTAAAAGAAAAGCATTTATTAGGGGGAAAAAAATCTTGAAGGAAAACAAGCATCTCTGTTGTGCCCCCTGCTCATGCAGCATGAAAATGAAACTTGTGGTAGTGTTTGCCAGACTGCAGCAGGACCCAAAACATTATTGATGGATAACTTAAGTTTACATATATTGATAAACACCATCTCTCTACACTAACGAAGATACAGAAACGCTCTTCTGTTTGATAGTATCTAACAATTTGGCAGGGGGCTGCAATCGAAGACAAAGACAGCTTTACAGAATGCTTGTTTACTCTGTATTAAAATACAGTATTTTGTATCACAGTGTTAGAGTAAATGATACATATAATATCTGGTGTTTAGGTAGAGCTTTACATATATAAGAGGAAACAGGATGTGTCCATTTTGATGAGCAATCCCACAACAAATGATTGTACTACTCAAAAAAATAACCTAAAGACAAGCCCATGAAACAGTAAGAGAAAGAAGTCTGCACAGAGGATAACTAAGTCACCCGGTGGGACATGAGCATACCCCTCTGGAAATGATGCAACAGCCCTGCTTCACACAGAAGAAATTCATAAAATCAGCTGCCCATTTCCTCTAGTCCACCCTCATTCACGGAGTGCCAGCAAATTAGTATGAGAGACAGAAAAGCAGGCAGAGTCATTCGGAGTGCCGGTATTCAATACGTAACCATAACGAGAAATGATTCACAGAACAAAATGCTTGCACTGAAATAAACTTCAGGTATCACTGAGCTCACTCCATGTTTCTTAGATGTCAAACAAACAGGCCAACTTACGCAGCTCTCCTACTTTCAGTATTTCGCACAGCATCTTTGTCAGCTCAATGCTACTTCGGCCAAATGGGCACTCATGCTTGTCTTCTCGACTACTGTTCTCCAGGACAATCTAAAGTAGGAATTAAAATGGAAAATAATCAGTTTGAAGAATCCATGAGCTGAAGTATTATACGCCACATCCAACATTTACAGTACACACCAGGCTGAATTCAGGAAAGTTTTCATAAACTTTAGCCTTTCCCCCAGCTAAATGACAGGAGAAATGAGCTGACAGGAAAGCAAAACAAATAAACAAAAAGAAACACACACAGAAAGAGAAATGTTGCCTCCCTATCCATGAAGCAGTGACACAGAAGCAGTGCAATTCCAGGACCAACCCAGACGCTTTCCCATTCCTACACAGCGTTGCTGTCCTGCACCAGTCCTGGCTTGAAGATACTGCATCAGAAGCCGAAGAGAATGAAATATTTAAAATATTCAAGAAACATTTCAAATTGCAGGTTAAAGGAAATTAAATATGATGACTCATAGACATGAGCACACCTAGAAGGAATCATAAAAAACATATGACAAAAATTGCATAGCTGGATTCAGGCTCCAAAAAAGATCCAAGTGACAATAATCAAACTCCGGTCCACAGAGTAAGAAAATGTGCTCAGTTTCTCCATTACAGAAGACACTTGCATGCAAATCATTCCAGTGTTTTCACTCTTGCATCAAGCCCATGAATGCCGCAAAAACAGCTCAAGGAAAGTCTTCATGTTATCAGTTGAATTACGGTGCAAAAACATGAGAAAAGAACTTCTTGAACATTTTTGCACCATTTTGCACCTGAAATAATATTTTCCCCAGCACTACAACTAAACAAGAGATTTCACTGTATATGAAAGATGAGTTATGAAAATACTGTAGATTTCATTGAAGGTGTGTGCCTGAAAAGGCAGAAAAACTGGGGCTGGAGAAAAGGAAAAAACAATCAAAACATATTTGCAGTAAGATTTGTCTCTGCAGTAACAAACTTTGCCACCAGCTTTAAAAAAATGGGAAAAAAAATACAACCTAAACATCTGCTGCACAGCTTGGGGGTGAGGGAGAGAGAAAGAAAATGAATTTCAAAGGTAAGAGATTTTGCCAAGCTCCAAAGAACCTCAGCAGCTCTCTAAATTTTCTTCACAAACAAGCGTTTAGACACTGCTCTGTGATTTGCATTCCTCCTGTCTCCTTAGCTCCTATCTTCACTATGTTTTTTTGTTTGCTTTTTTAATCTTTCAACTTTGCCAGCAAGGAAAGCTTCCAAAACAGTAAAACAACATTGCTTTCCATCACGACAGAAAACGTTGTGCTCCTTTCTAAAATCCTAGAGTTCCCACTAAATCTTCATTTATAAAAGGCTCCAAGGCTGGAACTTCGCCCGAAACAAGGTGGTGGTGGCAGAGAGGAGGACTGGAACCATCACTGGATGCCAACAAAACCTTCCCTCTCTCCCCAGATCTTAGCTGTGATTGTTTGTTATCCATGCTGTCTCATGTGCAGAAGTCTTCGCTGTCAGGCAGTTAAGGTAAAAGTGGGAAAACGAAATGAAAACCCAAAAGCAAGAGTGAGTTATCTACTTCACATAGCATGCTGAAACCTCCTCACCAAGAAGTATCTACTCCAGTCCTGCTCTACAAAGGGCAGCTCCAAAGCCATCCCCCGGGGATGTAAAAGGATGGTTGCTTTCTGCATTGTGAAAATGGAAGATCGCTTTGTTTTGGTTTTCATTGTTGTCTTTTTATCACCTAGATAAAACATACTTGCCTCGATTCCCACAGATGCTTAGAAACTAATTCAGGATGTGATAAATACCTGACTCTTACTGCTTTTCACTGGGCCTTTCCAACCGGGTATATTAGAATCACGGTCACCGCTCTGCCAAGAGGACTTACTTTTCCTTGTAAAAGTTTTGGTTTAAATTACACCTAATTGTTCTGTGTCACATCTGGGTAACAGCTGTATCAATTCAAAGAAACACCCCTGCAATTTTTGTTTTATGTTGCTGCAGCCACTGTTCAAGGAACATGAGAATATGATTTTGCCTTCTAGGTGAGTCATCTTGCTCCAGTCTCTTTCATGGAGGATAGTGCTACATTTCCACATCCAAACGCAGGAGCTATGACAGATTGGCACACACGCAATGTAAGGCTGTGTCTTCAACACCTCCCTGGGATCGCTTCTCTTGTTTTATTATTATGTGTTTTATCTCTCACATAATAAAACGTAAAATCTGCATACTGGAGCAGGGGGCTGCTTTGACACAGATTTAGATACAGCAGAGAAACACTGGTAATAAAATCAATGAAGAGGCAAAATGAAAGGGTAAGGGGGAGGGGATGAGAAGCTCTCAAATCAGCATTTCTGCTGGCTTCTGGCAAATGCATTTTGTTGAGTTTCACATTAACCCGACATATTAACATTTCATGAGCACATACATATTTAATGGTGACACCATATATGCATATAATGTAAGGCAGAATTACAGCAATCAGTAATAATGCCAGAGAAATAGTTAAGGAACTGTGTATTGCTATACAGCAAATTAAATGGCAATTTCAGTAATCAATATGTAAAGCAGCTTTGAAACAATCCTCACTCACACTTTCTCTGCAAGCATCATCTTTCAGAGTTTGCTGTGCAAAATAAGGCAGAGCTGACATGTTACATTGCTGCAGGAAAGGAAGATGGAAGACTCTTTACTACATCTAAGGCAAATTTGTAGGCAAATTTGACTAATATGGATCTTCCATAAGAAACAGCAATGGTAAAAAGGTGTGTGGAGGGGTGTCCTTATAAAAACCCAAAGGAAAATTATTCTTAATCTTGGCAAGAGATTTACAACATTCATTAGGATATTTGTAATATTCTTTTCATGACTTCAAGACTCATATCCTGTTCCAAAGTAAAACACTATAAATACAGCTGATAATGGCATAATTTTAATCTTACTTCCTTTATCAATCTGGTTATGGAGGAGAAATAAGCAGAGAATAGACATGTTTGCTCCATAAACTGGTGAAAACTGTAGCAGCGGAAAACATAACACAGCTCTAAACAGAAAATACTCGTGAATCAAGCCATCAGTACACTCTGTAGACATACACATTTCTGTCACAGCAGTTATTTTAGCAAGGAAAGTAAAGCAGTGAGGAAGTCACCAAGACCAAATAACGTTCATTCAAATGGTGGTCTATTATCAGTGTCGTCGTGTCGTCCCCGCCCCCCCCCCCCCCAAATACACAACAGCAAGCTGCAGATCTACCAAATGTTTAACTATCAACAGGTATGATTGCTAAATTTTACTCTGGGGAGAAAGATACTTAAAGGCAGAAACCATGGACGTTGCAGGAGAGCTCTCAGCACCTTGACCATCTTCCTTCCATCCTATCTCGGCCCTTGTCTGCTTAGTAGCCCTTTATTTTGATATTAGGCATCTACTTCTGCCAGCTTATCCTCTGTTTTCATAGCTATGGAATTGGGAAGATGGAAAAATGGCTTTTAATACGCTAGATATTATACAGACAAAATCCAAAACTACCTTGCAATACAGAGATACGAAATGCTGCACATCATTTTTTCTTTCTCTGTTTCTTTAAACTCTATGGCCCATTACTATGAGGCAAGGCAAAAAAAAAGCATCATGTGTAACATGCAGTAAATACAGAACAATTTTCTTAAAAATCAACCAAAAATACAGACATGGATCTCAAGAAAATGAAAACAAAAGGGAAAAAATTACCCAGAGAGGGCAGACAGGCAAAGTTTGAGTGAGGATAAGATACTAAAGAAAAAGACAAGATAAAAAGTTGGTAAAAGGAAAGTGAAGTAATTTAAAAAACAAACAAAAAAAGAACACAAACATTCTTCCTCCATTTCTCTAAGCTGCAAGAACAAGATCCATAGAATGAGAACAGAGAACAAAATTAAATCAGAAGAATGAGATTAATTGACTAGCAGAAGGGGAGAAAGGAAGAATTTATATATAAATATTAAATCAAAGGAGCTGAATTTTTTAGGAAAGCCAGCATTACCCATTTTCTTGGCTTTTCTACAGTTGAAACTTTGTAGCCTGTTAAAGCACAAGAATTTGACAATCTCTGTAATAGAGTACAGATCTGTACAGTTTTTACTATTTTTATACCTCATGTATATACTTCTCTCATTTACAAATTCCTGTTGTAAATAGAACAGAAACATTTCCCAAATACAAAAATAAATAAGTAATAACAAAGCAAACAAACAAACAACAACAAAACACACACAAATAAAACAACTGAAGTGATCAGAAAGAGAAATGAAGGCTTAGGGTACGCATTTCAGGCAGTGTTGTTTAGCAGCTGCTGACAGCTGAATTTCTTCTGGGATTTAGCCATATGAATTGCCTGAAGTACACAGTTTTCTCTGAAGCCAAAAGCGTTTTAAAGAAGAGGAAGGCAGCCTTCAAGTGTCCTATTGTCCAACAAAACATTTAGAAAGTAAGAGGAAGGAATAAGCCTCCTTACAGAATATATTTAGTTCTTGTTTTTGAAATACTTTTTTTTTAGTTCCTCTTTGTATTGTAGTTAATGTTACTCAGCATCACCCACAGAAGGCTAACCTACCTTTACGAGATATGTACTAATAGCATGGATATATATTTATAATACAAATATAATAATAAATATAAATATATAATATAATGGCATGGATATTTTATAATATAAATTCAAACCTTATGCCAACATCACAGAGGAATAGTGTAAAACCTCCAGCAGCAGAAAGAAACAAAATCAAAAGATTTTTTAACTTTACAGCAGGAAACTTCACATTTTTGCTTTATGATCTTCCATTGAATTATTCATTGAGTCCATGACTTCCTCGGGAACAGACTCCTTGGGGAAGCTATGGACTAAATGAAAATTTTTCCATACTTGACTACCATGCTACCATGGTCTTAAAAGTGTGCCATCAGCCTCGATAATGAAGCTTATGCCTGCAACTAAGAGTTAATAATTGACAAAAACCTAAAGTTGTAAAGACAGGTATCATATTCAAAAGCTTCCTTATCAAAATTCATAAGGATGAAACTACCTGGAA